CCAAGCCAAGGGCATGGAGGCTTATTTTCTGGACCCCACTCTGCACCCAGTTACAACAGGGTTAGTTTCTTTTATGGCAAATATCGATGGGTGGAATCCATATAGAGAAAGGCTCTTTGAGGTTTTCAATTTTTGAGATTGAGCTAAGAAGGAAAAAAAGAATTAGGTCCTGGATAAGAGGATCATGTCTAAACCATCCCAGTGTGGCATCCAAGGCTCTGTCATCCATTTGGCCTTCCCACATTGATGCTACAGCAGCATTCAGGGCTTGCAAGTCCCCAGGTTACCTCCTGGCCTTCCCTCATTTGGTCACTTTTGCTTGCAATGCCATTTCCTCCCTTCTCTCCTTGTCAATCTTTCAATTTCATCTCAGCTGGCACTTGCCTTCCCTGACCGCCCCTTACTTGAGGCTGGGTCAGAGCCCCTCCTCTGAGTCATTTTCTCAGCACTTTTTTTGGTCTCCTCCTCTAGGGGCTGTGAGTCTCTGTGACAGGTGCAGGTCCTGCTCCCTCTCCCAGTGCCTGCGGGCTCATCTCAGGGACAGAGTCGGGCTGTGCTGGGTTGGTTTCGGTCACCCCTGAACTGCCCAGTGCAGAGCCTGGCTAGCTAGATACTTAACCACCTTTCCATTTAAACATTTTTTTTTAAAGGCATGTTTTTTCTTGCATAAACATTAACACAGAAATGCATCACCCACACAAATAAACTTCTGTCAAACTTCAGTGCCCTTTTCAGTGTTTCCCCCCAGCTTCAGTGGTTTGCATTATTGTGATTCCAACTAAGTACAGTTCTAAGATCTGTGTTTTCACCCAGCTGTCAAACAAAGTATTTTTCAATTTTAAAAAAGTGTTCAGAAATAGACTATTGAATTGACGTAACAGCTGACTCCTCTTAACTTGGAATCTTTTGCTTTTCCAGCGTGATAATGTTTATTCTATCCTCATTCAAAGGGAAAATATTTAAAATATGTGTCCATTTGCTGGCAAATATTTGGTGAAATGGATACGCACTCCCATTGTAGTGTAAATAGAAAGATCTGGTTTGGTAAATAATTTCGTAATGTGTTCTTGGGGTCATAAAAAGTTCCAAGGCATAGAGTTTATAATTCTGGTCCTGGGATTATCCTGAAGGATTGTGCAAACAATGGAAAGATCCAGCATTTACTTAACTGAATGAAGCTTTCAAAAGAGCTTGCATTAGAGTTTGATGCTCTAGCTTCTAAATGACTTGGGGTCCCTCAGGTTTTGCGTTTTTTCTCCCCTTATGGCAGATGTCCCCACACCCGCTCAAAGTGCCCTCTTCCCTGAAGCCCACTTCCCGGGGTGCCACCACCTTCAGGAAGCCCTCACCCCTCTCGGAGGTCTGGGTTGAGTGGGTGAGGAGCTGGCCTGGGCAGTGCCAGGCTCACAGAGAGGAAATGCTTCCTCACTTCTCCACCTTATTCGCTTTTCCCTTCCTTGGCCCTACTAGTCACCAGTGGGATTGAGTGGCCTTGGCCGTACCCACCCTATGTCCTGGCTTTACTCACTGAGGAGCCATGCATTTGCCCCATGGCCCATCATTTCTGTCTCAAGTGCAAGGTATCTGGCCCTAGTTAATAGAAAAATAATGATAAGTCTTCTATACATCCCCAATCCTGGTTTACTAGAATTTTCCAATTCATCCACCCACTCAGCAGTCCTGGAGATGGTGTCTGTGTACAGTTGAGAAAAGCTTCATTCATTCATCCACTTACTCATTCTCTCAACATCGGTCAGTGCCTATACTGTGTCTGGTTCTTCTCTGGGCGCTGGGGCTGCTGAGCAGAGGAAGGCACCGGCCCTCAAGCTCCTCACAGAGAGATGAGTAAGAAGGGTGAAAACCTCAATGACAAAAGCTGACCCTTTCCAAGCACTCTCTCTGTGTTGGACAGTAATGACAAGGGAGCTGGGTTAGACCTGTAAGTCGGAAGCACAGTGTCTTTCGGGGGGAAGCATTGAGGAGAGGCCCCCACGTAGCTGGGAGGTAACTGATGAACAGTCTTACAGCTGAGGAGGACTTAGGGGACTAGAGGGGGAAAAAGAAGGGTGCCCAAGGTGGATGGGGCAGCATGGACAAAGGCTTGCCACACACTCACATCGGTTACTGGCCAAAGGAGTTCTGAATTTTGAGACCTCCTTGTGTATCTTTTTGTGGGAGGTGGGATTATCACAAAATATAGTCAGAAAGGAAAACTCTCACCCCCCTTCCTTGGCTAACAGGGAGGAGGATTATTTAAGATTAAATCCAGCCTTGCCTCCGACCTGCTGTGTGGCCTTGAGCAAGTTACTTCACCTCTCTGAGCTTCAGTTGCCACCCTTTCCCCCAAGAACCTTTCACTGCATCACTCAGCGATTCAAAAAGATAATGTGTATAAAAGTTTAATACAGGCTTTCTCAACATTATTGATATTTTGGTTCAACTGATTCTTTATTGTGAGAGGTGACTGTCCTGTGTATTGTGGGATGTTGAACAGCATCCCCAGCCTTTGCCCACAAGATGACAGTAGCAACCCTTGCCCAGTTCGTGACAACTAAAATATCCCCAGACATTTCTAAATGTCCCCTGGAGGGCAAAGTCATGTAGGAGGCATTCAGTAAACGTATATTCTCTCTTTCTGCTTTAGTTCTAGAAGGAGGATTAACTTCTGTCCTGTTGGAGCAGAAAGAGTTTTCAGGGATCACTGTGCAATTAAGGGGAAAGGGCTCAGAGAGGGGAAGTCAGCCGCATAATGTCACACAGCATGTCATCGGCAAAATGAGTTAAGAAGAACAAGCACAAAACAGCCTTAACAAGAAGCCTCCAAAACACAATGATTTAAAAGAGCTAGTTCGTTCCTTTCTGCCAGAGAGCCCAGAGGTGTATAGGCAGGGGCTGCTGGGCAGCTGTGCCATTCTCAGTGCGCAGCCTCCACCTCTGCTCTCAGCTGGTTGTTCCACTTGTTCCCATTTCTAATTAGAAAGAAGGGGGAAAGAAGGTCAGGAGGAAGTAGAGGGATTCCCCCTTTACTTTTAAAGCACAAAGTGGAATTCATAGCATCACTTTTGCTTACATGCCATTGTCTAGACTTAGTCACGTGGCAACTTTTACGGCAAGGGAGACTGGGAAATGTAGTCTCTGGCTGGGGGCAAGGCACACTGCTAAAGCCTGAGGCAGGGAGAGAAGAATGATCACTGGGGAGCAGCCTTTCCATAAAGACAAGATGAAAATCCAAGGTTTCGCAGAACCACAGTTCTCTCTGTCACATCAGGGCTTTCATCCGTCAACAAAGGCCAGGGTAGCTGAGATTCCTCTGCTTTCCCACGTGTCAGGCCCTGGGTAAACACTTTACACTCATTGGCTCCTTTAATCCTCACAACAGCCTAAAGAAGGAGGTTTTATTGTTAATTCTATTTGACAGGTGAGAAAACTGAGATTCTGAGAGATTAAGTAGCTTGCTCAAGATTTCAAGACTGGAAAGTGGCAGGGGTTGACCTGAGCTCAACGGGTACCCAGTAGCCCTCTGGCATAACCTGAGCTGAGGTCCTCACAGAAATGCTGAAGACCCCTTCAGGCCACCCCAAGGGCTCAAGGGCCCCCTGAAGCGACTTGACCCCATGAGCCAGCCTTCTCCGGAGGCCCTTGGGCGAACTGGTTGCTGGGCGCAGGTCTCTGTGCAGCCTTGGCTTCTCTGAACCTGAGTTTCCTCTGGTGACGAAAGCAGTCCCTCCTCACAGAGTAATGAGATGGTCGCTTGGCAAAGTGGGCAAAAACTCTTTGGGCCTTTTGATGGGAAAGTCAGATGCCTTCCTGGAAAGAAAGGCCGCTGGGATCTTTTCATGGGGCGTACGCTAGCGTGAGGCCTGTGTTGCATCTCTGCACAAGCGACTGTGACAATGGGAAAGGGCGGTGTGAAACTGAGGGCCTGCATGTGGTGAAGGAAGAACAGCCTCAAGAAGACCTCATCTGTCCCAGGCAGAAGAAAGCAGGGACTGCTGAGGTCTGGGGAGAGGTGGCCAAAGCGCTAGGGATCTGCGATGTCACCTCTCTGAACAAAGGCTCTCATGGTATGCATTCAAATCCTGGCTCTGCCGCTTGCTCACTCTGTGATCCTGATGAGTCACTTTGCCTCCATGAGCCTCAGTTTCCTCACCTGTCAAATGGCCAACAATGGTGTTTGGTATAAAGATGTGAAGAATGAGTGGGGACACGTGCTCCAGCAAAGGCAGCCCTCCATGATGGTGGTTGCTTTAGCATAAGCAGTGATAAACTATCTTGACCATGACCTAGTGCAGCCTGGGGGAGAGCTGAGTTTTGGGGTGTGGATGGAGGGGTCTTGGGCAGAGAGAGGAGCTGGTCCCCATGGGACAGTTGACCACCACCGGGGCCCTCGGCCTCACCAGGCAGGTTGGGCTTTTTGGGCAGCCCACCAGGTGGGTGCACAGGCTTTCAGGGCTAGCAATGGGAGAAATGGGTGAGCCCCGGGGGCTGGAGACCATGGGTGCTCTCGGCTGGGTGCTCTCAGGTAGAGCTTGAAGAGACCTCAGCTCCAGTGGAACGCTAGCCGTTCAAAAGACATGAAGGGGCAGGCTGGGATGTGGCCCAGACCTCTGACCTTGTGTCGTCACTGTGCCCCGTACTCCTACAACCAGACAGACCACATACTCCCCTGATCCTCCACCAGTCTTCTCAGAGTCCCTGGAGAGGAATGGAGGAAAACACCAGATGGGGCTGCCCCAAGAATGCGGCTATCTTGTTCCCACTGCCTGCCTGGTCCAGAGTAGGTGCTCACTCCATGCCCACTGAATATATGAATAGATGAATCAAGGGTTCTGCCACTGCCACAGACTGGCCCTTTGTGTCTCAGTTTCCCTATTTGTAAAACAAGAAGGTGGGCTGGATAGTCACAGGTGACCCTTCCAGTTCTGGATCCAGGTCTCTGCTGCCCTAGTTGTACTTCTCTCACCAAATCCCAGATGGAAGGAATGTAATGGGTCACACAGGAGGATGCAGAAGTAGCCTTTATTGCTAAGGGTGGATGGTGACAAGCATAGAGAGCTCTGTCTTGATTGTAAAGCCAAGGAGGAACTGAGAAGGATCTTTCTGACTGGACTCAGGCTTCCACTCCAGCTGGATGGTGGCGGCATCTCCCCAGAGGGAGATGCTATGAGGAAACACAGCTGAACAACGGGGAATGAATCTGGAAGGAACCCACAGGGAGTTAGGTCACTGACAGCAAAGGGGCCCTTATGTGCACCTGCTGTTCATCATACAGCTGCTGCCCAAGCTCTTTCCCACAATTCCCTGTAAGGTCTAAGGCCTTGGCAATGACAAGACAGGTACCTATGGTTTGGGGTCTTTCTCTGGCACCTGGCATTGAACCATTCTTATCCCCTCACTCTCCCCTCTCCTCACCTTAGGCATAATAGCAAATGTTAAAGCACTGGTCAGAGCCCTGGTTGGGTAGCTCAGCTGTTTAGAGCATCATCCCACTACACCAAGGTTGCCAGTTCAACTCCAGGTCAGGGAACATACAAGAAACAGCCAATGAATGCATAAATAAATGAAACAAAAAATCAATTGCTTTCCCCCCCGCCTTCCTCTAAAAATCAGTTAAAAAATAAAAAATGGATCAGAGCCCAGGACTGGAGGCCAGGTCCAGGGTTCTGTATATAATCAGGATCATGGATCAGTCAGGTCAGTGACAGGGCTCAATCTGTGACTAATTTCAGGGCTTAATCAATAACTGGAGCCAAAGCTCAGTCTGTGAGTAGGATCAGGGCTCAGTCCTAGACCAAGATCAGCAAAGCCAGAACTCAGTTTGCTGCAAACAAAACAACAGAATCCAAGCTTTGCTTTGGTTTCACCATAGTCCGCTGAGAAGGGGCCTCATCCTTCTCCGCATGGGGCGCAGAGCCTGGCTCCTCACCAGCCGGGAATGTCAGAGCGGTCCTCCTCATCTGCCCTCTTCATTCAGACGGTCCCGACTTCTGTTCTTTCTGAAGTTTATCTGGAAGAACAAAATCAATAGCAGGCCTCAGTCTCCAACAAACAGAATCCAGAGCCAAATGACTGCCACTCTCCAGGGGATCAGCCTGACAGCCATGGGACCTCAGGCATGTCCCTCCACCTCCCTGAGCCTCAGTTTGTTCAACTGTAAAATGGGTATAATAACAGTACCTATCCCACAGGGCTGTTGTAAGGGTTCAATGAGATGGTGCATACAGAGCACAGAGTGATTGACCAAGGAACTGGACTGGTGGTATTCTTTTTATAGAAGGGCCCCCTCCAGAACCTTGGCACATTCACTGAACCCACTTCTATTGCTCCAGCCTCCCCAGCAATCCCAGACATGCCTGGAGACCTGAAGGCTAAAGAAAGCCTCCAGGGGATGGAGGAGAAAGGCCAGCTCCTCATAAGAAGGAAGAGAGGAGGGAAGGTGTTTATTAGCAATGCCCACTGTCTGTTAGGCTCTTTATGGTTTTTTTTAAATCCAGTCACCGACCCCACAATTTTTATAATCTTGTTTTATCCAGGAGCAACCGAGGCTCAAAGAGGCAGAACCACTTGACCAAGGTCCTACAGTTGCTAAGGAGCAGAGCCAGGATTTGAACTTAGATCTGGCCCCTCTTCTTTCTCACATCATCCTGCCAAGCAGCTTCTGTGGGTTTTCCGAGGGATGACAGAAGGAAGTTCTCAGAGGCTCAAAGAGCCCCTTCCACTCTGCAAGGACCCCTCCAGCTACACTCTCCCAACTTGCTCAGGAGGGTGGATCCTTCCCCTTCTCCAGGGTCCCCTGCCCACACTGGCCTGTGGGGCGGGCAAGAGCTGCATGCCCGCCCCGGGAAGGCTGCTCAGGGAGCACCTTCACTTCCCCAGGCTGTGACTTACCGATGGCATTCTGAAGAAACTCCACACTCATGCTGGCAACAAACAAGCGAACCAGTGGGCATACCTGAGAGGAGAGAGAGAGGAGGAGGAGGAGGAAAAAGGACAGATCCATTATCCACTGGGCACCAACTGCCGGCCACTCATGGAGATGCCCTTCACACGGGATCTTAGAACCTTTGACACTCAAGATTCTGGAACAGTAGAATCCTGGAAGTGTAAAATCTGAGAACCATAGAATGCTAGAATCCTAAAACCTACAACCTTAAATCCTAGAACCTTAGGAATCTAGAATGTTAACATCGCAGAACCCTACACTCTTAGAAACCTTGAGCTTTGGAACCCTGGAATTTCAGAGTCAAATGGAGACGTGGGAACTGTAGAGCAGTGTTTCTCATGATTTTGTGTGAGGTTCCCTGGGGATCTGGTTAAAATGCAAATTTCAATTCCACGGGCCTGGGGTGGGGCCTGAGAGTCCGTATTTCTAGCAAGCTACCAGCCGAGGCCTGTGCTGCTGGCCTGGGACCACACATTGAGTAGTGAGTCTCCAGTTCAGTGAATCACAAAGCCATTTGGAGGGTTTTCCTTTCATAAATCTGGGTTCCCAGCCCCCTTCCAGAGTGACTAGTTCAGAATCTTTGGAACTTTGGCACACAGCACATATGGTTTTGTATGATGCACGGGAATCCTGCACATGTTACATATGGTTTTGGACAATATGTAAATAAAAAAACTATTTTATAGGTCTGTGTTTATTTTTAGAATTAATTTTATTGTAAGTGGTGTTAATTTCTATTTATAGCAGGGATATAAAGTTCCTTTTTAAAAATAAGTGTATTTAAATAAATTTAAGTGCAATTGTGTTGATTAAAGGGAAACATTAGCTAAAAAACACATTGATAGTACATGAATATGACAGAGAGCTCAAGTTTGGGACTCAGTGATTTCAGCCAATGCCAGGACTCTGCTCCCCTTCCCCCAACCCTCCAGGCTGAGTAAAGGGGGCAGATTCCAGCTAACAGCCCAATGAGAAGTTTGCACCTCAAAAGGAAAGGGGCCCAGGGAATACAGCCAGGACTTTCAATGCCATATCACCCTCACCAGGCCTGGCTCTCGGCACCCAGGGGTGGAGGACTCACCTGTTTCTCCACCAGGATGGACAAGGTGTCACTCACCAAGCTGGTCGCAGATCTTACGAGTGTGTTGGCCAGTTTACTCTGACTATAAAAGAGGGGAAGCTCATGAAACATGGGCCGAGGTGCCTTTCTACGCACAGAGTCTCCCTCTACCAGGGGAATCACCACTTACAACCCTATGTCTGAGCTGCAGCTCATCCCAATACCTCATGAAAGCCTCATCATAACCCAATTCATTGAACAAATATTATAGAGCAGCAACTACGTGCCAGGGACCAGGCTAGGCTGGGGGCATGGAGAGGAACAAAGTACAAACAGCTCCTCACCTGGCACCTGAACACTAAACAACTCTTGCTAAGGCTGGCTCCTTCTCACCTTCAGCTCTCAACCCAGCTGTCACCTCCTCAGGACAGCCCTCTCTCACTGCTCCCCAGAGGGAGAGCTTTGTAATCGCAGTTTCCTGATAAGTGTCCCGCTCTGCCCAGGGCTTATGCCATCTGAAACGCTGCTTGAGGGCCCTGTATTGATGGACTGAATGCTGGCCTGCCTGCCTTTCCCTCAGGACAATAAGCACCACAAGAACAGGTCCTATCTGTTCTCACCAACAAAGCCTCCAGAGCTCAGAACACTGCCTGCCTGGACATAGCAGGTACTCAATACATTTGTAGCTGAAAGAATGAATGAAGTAAACACACAATTAAATGTATAATGACAACTCGTGACAAGTACTCTGAAGGGTGGGAGTAGGCCCTTTTGAGGGAGAACTGGAGGAATCATATTCTAGAGCCTGAAGGATGAGAAGTGCATTGAGGTAGAGTAGGGGCAAAGGTATTCTAGTAGCCAGGGCAGCTCTGCGCAGGTCTGCAGGTGGGAGAAGCTAGCCAGGGGCACAGAGCAAAGGCCAGTGTGTCTGCCCAGGGCAAACAAGGTGGGGAGAGAAGGGAGATAAGGATGGGACAGATCACACAGACGCTAAATGATCATGGGGAGGGTTTGGGAGTTCATCCAAAGTGGGGAAAAAAGCCCCAGGAGGACTTTGAGCAGCAGAATGGAATGTCACTGTCCAGATATGGACACCAAGACCCAGAACGGCAGGAGGAATTCGCTGGGGCGAAGCAGTGTCAGCAGGGCTCAGGCCGCTGAGTGTATATCCCAGGCTTTCCAACCAACATCAGGCCTTCGAGCCTTTCTTAGGTTTCAGGCAACCCTGGTGGGGCGGGGTGGACTGACTTCTGCCCATGGTCCAGTCTTGTTCCCTGCCAAGGCCCACCTGGCCCAGCCCTCAGCTTCCAGAGCATCTCTCTTCTCCCAGCCATAGCCAGGGTGGCCCTTTCTCCCTCAACCTTCTCCTGGGGGCCACACCTGCTCTTTCAGTCATACAGTTTCAGATGCAGATTTTGTGGATTAACAGGGATCAATGATTTAAATGGAGAGGATTATGTTTTCAAGGGACCATTTCAGAAACTTTCCAGTGGGTGAAACTAGAGGCCACGGTGGGCCTTTACTCCTCTTCTCTCCTCCCAGCCGGAGGCAAGAAAGTAAGTATAATTGACGATGGTGATTGGAAACATCACATACCACTTAAGGGGAAAACCTTCAAGAAGATACAGCAAGCCTAAATAGGCATGCCACTAATAACAGAGCTTCAAAAAATGAGAAGCAAAATTCTGATAGAGCTGCAAGGAGAAATAAGCAAATTCACAATTATAGTTGGAGATGTCAACACTCCCGTCTCAGTCATAATGGAGAGAACAAGGAGACACAAAGTTAGCGTGGATATTATGGTTTTTGAGAGCTTAGTATGTGCCAGGCTCTAGGCTAAACACTTGTATTTTATCATTTGGTTAGCTCGGCAGCCTACGAGTAAGTAGTATTGTCATCTTTAGTTTACAGATGTGAAAACTGAGGCCCAAGGTTACAAGTTAGTGACAGAGCTGGTATTTGAACCAAGGCCTGCCTGACTACAGAGCCTAAACCCATTTTATACCACATTGTGCCACCTCCCAGGTATATGAATAAGGCTGAAATTAGGGGTCCTTGACTCCTTTGAAAGCCCTGCTTTAGTGAGCTGGAGGGGACTTACTTGTCAACCAAAGTCAACGAGACGCTGTCTGGATTGCTGGTACATTCTGTGAGGACAACTTTAGATTTGCCATCCTGGGTTTCAATTCTGACACCACTCAGGAGGTCCACAGAAACATTCAGGTCAACTCTCTTGTCAATAAAAGGACTGCAAGAAATAAGATTCACGGTGAAGAGAGGTCTAGAAGACCTTCTACATTGCCCACTCAGATTCCTCCACCTGCATGGACATTATCCAGGGAATCTATGGACAATGGCAACCTTGTCCCTATTCTTTATGGCATTAACATATTTATATTTAGGTGCTTCTTATCCTGGCCACATAGGTTTGGTTCATATGAAATTTTTATAGAGCATCACACTAATAACTAAAATAATAATAATAGTTAACATTTATTGAGCACAAATTATGTTAGGCACTTTGAAAAGGTATTTTACCTGGATTAAACCACCTAATTATTACAGCAATACCATGAGGGAAAAGTGCTATTATTATATCTATTTCAAAATGAGGAAGCATTAGTATAGAGAGGTTAAGTAACTATCCCAAGATGTCATCGCTAAGAATGATGTAATGATAGTGTACTTAATTTATAAAGATTTTTCCACAGGTGCTCACTTTCTTATCTCTCCATTTTTAAGTAATTAATATACTTTAAAATTATATTTTTTAACTATATGCTTTCACTGATATGTGGAATCTAATAAACAAAATAAACAAACAAAATAGAAACAGACTCATGATACAGAGACTAGACTGAAAGCTGTCAGAGGGGAGGGAGGCTGGAGAGATGGGTGAAATAGGTGAAGGAATTAAGCAAAAAACCCACAAAAAACTCACGGACACAGACAACAGTCTGGTGATTACCAGGGAAGGAGGGTTGGGGAGAGAGAAATGGTGATGGAAAGAGACTAGACTTTGGACGGTGAACACACAATGCAATGTGAAGATGATGTATTTTAGAATTGTCCCCTTAAAACGTAATTTTATTGACCAATGTAAACCCAATAAATTCAAGAAAAACAAATTAAAATATAAAATTGTATTTTTCACACACACCCTTTATTATATACTGCCCACATTTATCTTTCATGGTCAATGCTATTTAAAGAGAATCTTGAGAGACAAAATGATGCTAGAGAAAATTTTGCCAGAGAGCTATAAATGTCTTCTCCAATTTTGCAAATTTTGATATTAGATAAATGTTATGATTCCAGAAATATATTTAATGGAGGATTCTTTTAAAAGAGACTTCGTTATGGCCAAATTTTATTAGAACTTTTAAAATTAGGGTTTTAGAACTGAAAAAGCCCCCTTATTTATAGATTGGGCCACATAGCAGTGTGGAACAGTGGCTGCTTCCAGTGTGGAGACCCGCTAGCTGTCCTGCGCTGCCTCCCCCAAATCCCAGGCTGTAATTCATACTCACAGGCTCAATTCGACATCAGCGCCAATGGGGAGGGTCAGGTTAAGGCTTTTGCCATCAGGATTGACTGTAGGTTTGATACCCAAGAAGTGGGTATTATGGATTTTCAACCTGTACAAAAACCAGAATTCACTCTTGTCATTCCTCATGACAGCCATTTGCCAAGCACTTCTCTATACCAGGATCATGCTGGGCATTTGGGGCATGTCAGCCTCGCTTACTTTGGTCTATACCATAGCCCCCTACAGAGGTTTGATTGTCTCCATTTAACAGCATGGCATGTGGAGGATCAGACAGTTGTGATTTCCCCCAAGATTCCAGGGAAGAATAATTGCAAGAGCCAGAATTTGAACCCACAACTGTTTACTCTGATACTCTTATGCATTGAGCAAGCAGGTGTGAATTTTTCAGTTTTCTTTCTCCTGAGGGGATTCAAAATTTTATTCTCAGCTGCATGTGGAGAAGAAAGTCTTATTCCCTGGAAAAGGGAATCCAGGCATCAGCAAACACATGGAGGTGAGAGTGAAGAGAACCTTCCTCCTGACCCTGAAATTACAGAATGTGGAAGCTCAAACCCATAGGATACCAAGATTGGCCCTGTGGCCCCGCCTCTAATTTATTCTGGCTCCAGTGGATCTGGCCTCAGACCACCTTGGTTCTGTGGGAAGGCAAGTTTTGATATCTTTCTGTTTTTAATCTTAAACTTACCCTCTCCCTGAAAGATACAGGGAGCAAAGATCTCCATCATGAAGCACCAACTCACCCCAAAAGTTTATCCTTAAATGAAAGGACTTTAGAAACGGCTTTAGCGAACAGCTCATCAGCTTTCTGTAACGCCTGCTCAGACAATTGTCCAATCTTGGAGTCCTGAAACTTGTCAATGTCATCCTTCAGTCTTTTGACAATAGCTGACAAAAATAATCATTATTTAGTGTTATGTACCACTTATGAAGAACCCACTATGCACCAGGTACTAGATGAGACTGTGCCTATGTTATTTCCTTCAATCTTCCTGACAACTCAGTGAGGTAGATATTGGTCTTGTCTGCATTTTACAGATGAGGGAATAAAGGATGAAGAGTTTAAGAAATGTGCCTGAAGACACACAGCTGCAGAGCCCCTCTTTTTTCCATGCTGTCTTCATACTAATATAGACCCATTATTCATCAACAAAGCAAGCAATCAATTGACCTGGCAATTGATGATTGTACACCAGTTTCTAGTAGTGACTTGGAGGGTCTCTTGCTCTAAGGGAGATGTCCGCACGAGTTTGAAAAACTAGGTCAAACAAAATGAAAGAATGAACCAAAATATGGAAAATCCACAATCAAGAAAAAATACGACTCCAACCCATAAAAGGGACAAAATGTAGTCCTAGGATGAGAGCTCTGCAGCAGGCCCAGGGAGCAGATCCGAGTCCCAGTGGGAGGTCTCCCGGGAAAGGAGGGATTGGATAGAATAAGCAACATGGCAAGTGTGGAATGGTGCACATGAAAAGAGTTAAGGATGTGTGTGTAAAATAACTTATGTGAGAAACAGCAAGGTAATGACTGACTCAAGGGAAAACAAAAGACTGTACTGGAAGAGATAGGTAATCATAGGAACACAACCGGGCTCGGCAATGAACAGTATCTACCTAGTTATAATGATGCAAACAGAGGATGCCAATTTAAATAGAACTGTGTCTGGTCTTATAACTCACTAGGTGATCTTCTGTTTCTGAGCTTAGTTTTCTCAGGAGTGAAGTTGAAGATTGAGCCCCTTCCGTATCACTGAAGGTTGCCTGACAATATTTGATAGGCGGCCATTTACAGAAGTTACTAAACTCCTATAAAAATGTTTGTCAATGTGCTGTTAATTTTTTAGAAAAGGAAGGGAAAACCAAGTTCTTTTAAGAAATCAGAATAAAAAAGATATTCAATTAACTATAAAAGTAGGGATAAAACTACCTAGGCTAGATAAAGTTAATTTCCAATGAATTAATACAAATCAATAAGAGAAGTAAACAACCAAACAGAATAATAAGCTAAGAATATGAACAAAATATTTAAATTAAAGTATGTAAAAAGCTAAAAATATGAAAAAATGACTGAATTCTTCTACAATTCGGGAAATGTAAAGTGAAATGAGTTACAATCTTTCATCTATAAGACTGGCAAAACATTTCAGTCATCCGGACCAGTGCTGTCGAGGCAGCACAGAGAAAGGTGCTCCCACAAACTGTTGGAGAAAATGTTAATGTAGGGGGTTATCTGTCAACATCTACTAGAATTTAAAATGTGCATATCTTTGAACTTTTGAAATCTCACTTTTAGGAACTTACTCTATTCATATGTTGGAAAAAGCTTACCATGACATAATATGTAAAAGGATATTCATTTAAGCTTGCTTGTTTATAGAAAAATAGTAAGTGAATGAGCCAGGAAGTGAATAACCAACTGCCTTACCCAGGAAACCACTCAGAAAGGACAGCCCCCAGTGGCAGACCCTGGTAATGCAGCCCAGTGTTTAGGAGGTAGGGTCCTGGATGCCGCCTATTTTCAATCTTATTGACTCACCATCAGCTGAGTCGCCAAAGGTATCACGTCCTTTATCGATAACATTTTTCAGGTCTTCGCTAAGCTCCTCAAGAAGCGATGCTGATGTCCCAGTGAGCAGACTACACAAGAGAACAAGTTTCCAAAGCTGAAACATCTTTTCCTGATACCTGGACATTCACAGGGGAAATAGGAGGGAGAATTAGCCAGTAGGAAAAGGAATTTTTAGTGAGCACCTACCACTCTTACATTTAATATTCCTTTAAGATAGATGTGGTTATCTTCTGTTTCACAAATGGGCAGCCCGGGTCAGAAAACTAGAGCACCTTGCCCAGAGACACACGGCCAGTGAGTGGACAAGCTACAGTTTGAAAAGTCACTCTTCACTACAAGTCTATGCTTTTTACAAAAAGGTTTTTTTTTTTTCCACATGCTGGCTTCTTTGCCTGGAACATTGGTCTCCCTCTATGCATTTTTTATCTAAGTCATGTCTTATTGACTCCCTGGTTTCAGTCAGTAAGACATCATGTCCTCTCTGAAGCCTACTCTAGGCCCCTTGTAGAGTCTAGGTTAGGGGGTTTCACCCCACCATTTTTTCTGCCTTCGTTCTGATCAGAGTCCTGAGTACCAATTACATGATGACCTGTCCTCCTCTGTCACCAGGCTGTGAACTCTTTAGAGGAGGAATTGTGACATTTCACTGTTGAATCCTCAGCCCCTGGTAAAAAGCCTGCACCCAGTACAGTTCAACAAACAATGGTTGGCTGAATAAAAGTATGAATGAACACATGGACACCACATTAGGACCCTGCATTGCTCATCAGTTTGACACTTCCCTGAATATAATCTATATCTATCTCTTAATTTGCTATATTCAAAATATTAGCTGATCCAGGAAGCCCCATTCCTCTGCCCCTTGCCCCTTGCTCCCAAAGTCTACTGAAGACCACCTTGTGGGGTGTCATCAGGGGAAGCCCACCACTCACAGGTTTGGAGGAGGATGCTCACGAATCCTTACTCCCCTGATGGTCTCCTAGGATTATTCTGGATGGCGCTGGCTCTTATAGTGGTGGTGACAGGATGGAAGATTGCCCACAGAAGCAAGCCCTGGTTCCGCTGACATCCAAGGAGACTCCTAAGAAAACAACCCCTGTCCAGGATGGGCAAAGAGGCTTCCAATCCAAAGGTTACCCGCATGTTTGAATTGGAATGGCTGGATACAGGGAGGGCTTCTTGCCAAAACAAAGACCAGCTTCTCATGGTGCCTTGAGCTGCCAAGACAGTGGTGGCCATTGTGAGTGGAGATTGGGGTGAAGACTGAGAATAGACAAACTAGAGAACGTGCTGGCGGGAGAACCTGTAATGATCATCCAGCCTATTTCTGTCATCATTTGGATACTGAGGCTCAGAAAGGGTGAGTAACCAGCTTGAGGTTGCTCAGCAAGACAGGGACAGAGTTGGGACCAGAATTGCGGTTCAGTAACAAGAAAGTCCATCCTACTCAATCCCCTGGCATCCAAGGGCTCTCTACGACATTTTTCATGGTGGAGCCAGCCTCCTTTTGAATGTTGGCAATTGTGGGGCGTTCATTACCTCTTAAGACAGCCTGTTCTATCAAGTTAGAGTTCCTGCTGAGAGTGAACAAAATCTGTCTCACGGTCCCCCCATGTGTGGGCAACAGGGAAGCCCAGAAAGGTTAAGCGCCTGGCCTGAGGTTGCACAGCCAGTGTCAGAAGACAAACACCACAGTCAGTCATGCCCGGCACACTTGCCCCCTCCACTCTACTCTCGGTGCTGCAGCCAGACGTGCGACACTCAGCTTAAACCCAAATTCTTACCGTGCCCTGCAGAGACCTGTGTCATCGCATCACTGTCTCTCCAAACTCATCTCCCACCTCTTCTTCCTGGCCCCTACCCTGTCTTCCTTCTATTCCAGAAGATTCTGGCCTCTTTCCTGCTTTGGGCCTTTGCAATACGCCCTTCTCTCTGCCCAGGACTCTTCTCCAGTTGTCCCCAGCTCTTGATGTCACCTCTTCAGAACCTCCCTGACTGCCCACGTGAGGTGGCCCCTCCCCATTATCCCTGACCTGAGCTCCTCCATGGCTTCTTTTACAGTGAATCACCACAGTTTGACTTTTTAACTTGTTCTCTGCCCTAGGCGAATTGCTAATACCCTGTGCTCTGAGATTTTCCCCATATGTGGCTTTCGAAGACTCTGACCTGTCTATAGAATGCTCCAAACCTCTCTCTGGGGCATCCTATAAAAGCAGCCACTACCTGGGAAGGTGACAAGGTCCCCATCACCAGAGATGCTCAGAAACTCAACTAGGTGACTACTAATCTCCTGTGGGACTTGGCCTGACTATGAGCCATGATTCTAAGTTTCCTTTAAAGACAATTGTTGCACATTTTTGGGTTTCTTTCCCTCAGGTTTTCTTTCTGCCTGAGTCTAGCTGCCTCATGTGCCTATCTTTCCCTCAGGCTTCCCGTCTCTTTCCTTTGCTCACCCTCCCCACCTCCCAAGACCCCAGCTTCACCCAGCCGTGGGTACCTGGAACTCCAGAAGCTCACGCTAGGTGCTATTTCTCAGCATGACCCATACCCAACAGAGCCAGCTCTTCCCATGGACATTGCTGCCTCATGCAATCGAGCTCTAAGGTGATACAAACTGGTCTGCTGGGTGCTGGTCTAGAGGGACGGCACAAAGACAGTAAGGCAAGCAGAGGGCCCTAGCCTCTCAGATGCAGCTCCAAGGTCCTAAGGAGCCATATTCTCAGGATCGCCCACACCTCTGCAGTGTCACTTGGCCCCAGCTCACATGAGGACAGGACTTTGCCACACATTCAAGGGCCCTGTCTGCTAAAGCATTTGGGCAGCCCCCCAAGTCCCATCTACACTAGGCTAAGTCTTCCAGAGTGGGGAGAAACCATACCCCTTTCTTCCTTCACCTCCGCCTCCTCCCTCTGACGGCTGCTTGAGGCCACACGCTGCACTTGAACAACCACAGACACCAAAGCCAGAGGAGCGCTTAGAGTTCATCATTTAACCTCCTTGCTGGGAAGTCTGGGGAGCCTGTGAGCCAGAGAAGGAGAAGGCATCACCCAAGGCCACATAGTGACCTTGAACCTCACTTATTTTCCACTTTTATTGCATAACTTTTAGTTCTGTTGGAATTTTCTACTCTGAACAATAGCCTTAAAAAAAAAAAAGAAAAAGAAAAGATTACATAGAATTGCCTAGGAAGCTTGTTTAAAATGCAAATGCTTGAGCCCCATCCCTAATAATTTGTGTCAAGTGCTCCGGGAGCCCAAGAGTGGCCTGTGTCCAGCTGCTCAAGAGTGTTGGCCAAAAATGGGAATGACTGGACGTAATGACTCACAGGTGCCTTCTACCCTGATTTCTATGAGCTGTGACCCCCGCCCCAACCTCGGGGGCCTCGGCTCAGCCCCGGCCGCACCCTGCAGCTCACTCTGACCCCAGCACCGGGCTTGCTGCGTTAGCAACTTTCACCATTAGTCCTCATGACGACACTGTGAGGAGGTTTTGAGCCCCACTTTCCAGCTGAGGAAGCTGAGATTCAGAGGGCACGTGGCTTTCCCAGGCCTCACAAGGACAGGAACTGAGCATTTGGGTCCCCTGGGAAGGTCTTTTGGTCAAGGTCACAGTGAAGCCATCTGTCAGGGAAGAAGAGTCCTTGGGCTCTTGAATATCCTGTTTATCCTTCAGCCTCTGCTGTTTGAGTTGGTTGTGACACCTGGTGCATTGGGCCATGCAAACCTGGAACTGGCATAGGAAACTCAGGTGATGCTCACGGGGCAACAGATGCACTGGCAGAGAGCTCGGGGCTCTCTCCTCAGGGGGCTGCGTCTGTCTCCTCTGCTCACCCACCTGAAACTAAGCAAGAACCAGGTGGGCTTGTTATTCACGCAAATGTGGCCAGGGCAAGACGGGCTGGGGGGCCAGCTTCCCTCGCACTGGCTGTGGTTCTGCCATCGGAGCACAGAGCAGGGAGGAGATGACCACCTAGGTCCCCAAGCCAGGACTGAGACCTGGACAACCCAGGCCGGTGGAGTCTTGCTGTGTGGCCTTGGACCAGTCATTGGTCCCCTTTCCCTGGCTGCCTGGCATCCAGTTCTGCAAACGTCTGAGGTCCCTCTTCATCAAGGCATGAGGAACACAGCTAAGGGCTGTGCTGAAATCTTGTGAAGAATTTTTCCCACCCTAGAAACACAGCCGAGGGAGCGGAGAGTGATGTGGTGACCTTAGACTTTGTGTTAACGCCAGGCCTCAGTTGCTCCATCTGTAAAATGAGGTAAACACCACTGTGCCTGGATCCTACTGCCCAAATAGAAATCAAAAGGGTGCCAAGGGGGCCCTGAGGGTATTGGTCAGAGCCCAGCTCTAGGATCGAGTTTGAATTCAATCTCTCTCTGCCTGTTGTTGGCTGCATCATCTGTATGAGGCGTATAATCTCGCTGACCCTCAGGTTCCTTTTCTGTGAAATGGGATGAGCTACAGGATGTGCTGCAAGAATGAGGTAGGATAATGCGTGTGAAAGGGTTAGCACGTGGTAGACCCTCGGTAAGTGGTGGCGGCGAAAATGAAGATACAACTATTGTTGGTTTCTGGTTACTTCCCTTCTCTCCACCTCAGTTTTCTCACCTTTGTGTGAAGATAAGCAAGACAGTGCCTCCAATACACTTGACGCTTCATTAATGGCAACTGTGCTTCTTTTGCGTGCAGTGAGGGCCTGATGTGCCGAAATGGGTTCAGGCCTTCAGGATACCAGTGTCCACCAACTCCTGCTTCATGAGCTACTGGCGTATGACCCTCAGCAGCTGCATGTCCTTACTAAGCCTCAGTTTCCTCTCCTGGGCCAAGGAAGGGAAGTCTGAGAACTGTGGTCTCACGCATGACTGATTACAGGGGCTGACTGGATGGAACGTTCAGCTGAGGAGCCCTCTGAGGCCACTCCTGGAGGGAATGACTGATTAGTGACGTCTGTCGTCTGTCGGGAGTGCAGGACGGGAGAGTGCAGCACAGCAGTTTGCCGGTGCTGGACTAGGTGATCTCTCAAGGTCCCAGCTTGGCGATGGGCACAGCGACACTGCATGTTCATGGAGGTGGGACTCCGGGGCAGGGGGATGGAGGAGGAGACCGCGATCTGGATTCCAGTCCTGGCTCTGCTAATCACCGGCTGTGTGACTTTGAGCAAAGCACTCATTTTCACACAGGGACTCAGTTTTCTAACCCCAACATGAAGTGAGCACACAGAACCGAGGTTCCCTCCTAGGCAGCTGAGCTCCTGGGGCTCTGAGAGGTGGTAAAGAGCATCCGGGGACTACTTGCTCCATTCCCGCCAGCCAGAGCGGCCCCCCACTCTTGCTCTGGGCAGGAATCCCATGAGCTCCTGGGGTGTGATCCCTCTCTCTGAGGCCACAGGGCCACAGGGCATCATCCCCGGGCCCAGCACACAGCACACGCCCGATGAATATTTATTACAGCCTGCAGAAGAATTTTTCCTTATTGCTAATTAATTTTAAGTGGACACATTTTTCAATGTGTGCATTTTATACGTCTGGTCTTGGTGTCAGCCTTGGATGTGTGTCCCAATCTTTCCCTTTGTCAGCTATGTGGCCGCAGGCAAGTGCCCTGGCCTCTCTGAACCTCTGGGGTTTTTTGTTGTTTGTTTGTTGGTTTTTACCATAAAATGAGACTAGAACTGCTTCTAGAGCTGCAGCGAGAACCGCGTGAGGACACGTCAGGCCTGTGCAATGGCTGAGAGTGTGTGCTGGGCCGGCCAGGCAGGCTGCCCTCCTCTGCCGCGTGGCCATGGGCGTCCCTGGCCTCGCTGGGCCGGCTGCTTCTCTGCTCTGGGCCCTAATGCCAGGCCCAGTGCTCCTCAGCCTGCTGTGACATGTGACGAGAGGATACCAGTCTGGGGGCCGGCACAGTGCTGGGCTGAGTCATCGCCCCTCCTGCCCAAATGCACCCCAAACCCTCCAGGACAAGGGTATGTAGGGGGGATGCAAAGGGTCCTTGGTGGTGGGTGGGTACTTTCAGCAGCCATTCAAGGTCCAGGCCGACTCTT